ATATATATATATATATATATATATATATATATATATATATATATATATATATATCTGTACTGTACATACATACAGTACATACGGTACATATATGGCTTATGTCTTAAAGGGTTAATTTGGGTTTTTTAGAACACAAACCAGAAAATACCACACACACACTTTTTGTGTACAAAAATGTGCACACACACATTTTTTTTGTGTGTACACATTTTTGTACATTGAGGCGGGGGACACCCTGGACAGGTCTCCAGTCCATCACAGGGTCACATAGAGACAAACGAGAAACAACTATTCACTCTCTCACTAGGAACAATTCAGAGTTATCAATCTGTCTAACATGCATGTTTTTGGTATGTGGGAGGAAATTAGAGTACACGGAGAAAACCCAAGCATGCACGGAGAGAACATGCAAACTCATACTTAATACTCATACAAACACATAAAGGCCCACAGGGCAGGATTTGAACTGGAGCGACCAGCTTGCTGAGAGGCAGCAGCTCTATCGACTGTGCCACCATGCTGCCAGAAAAAAAAAAAAAGAGTTAAAAATTGAAAATATAAATGTATGTATTTTTTTGTAAACAGAATTGGCCCAAATGAAGGAGAAATTTCAGTTTGTAGCTATACATAATGTTGACTGCTATCAATTAAACACATTCAAAAAATAACTGGCATTCTTTAAATAAATTAATTTATCTACACACATGACAAAGAGATGTGAACTAAATATATCTAATGCTGAGAAGGGTCAGCTTTTTAGTCATTTTGATCAAGGTATTTTTTATCATTTTTCAACAGCTAAATAAAACAAACAAACATGTATCAATACACCCCTCCCCTCCCTCCCCTTGATACCAGATATGCACGAGAAAAAGAAAAAAACTAAACATGTAACACTACATGTTAAGAGTATATACAAAACTACACATATATTTGATAGTGGGTCATTGGGCTATATACATTCAGCATAATATAATCATGAGTCAAAATCACAGGCTGACATATTCTCAACATAACTAATAAATGGTTGCCATGAAGTGTAGAGTTTTCCAGCGCAACCTCTAGTGGTGAACTTAATCTTTGCCAGATGAATGTGGCTCATTACGTCTTTAATCCAGTGGCCAAATGTTGGAGGTAGCGGGTCCTTCCACTTGATGAGAATAAGTCTTCTGGCCAACAAGGAGGAGTACTCAATCATATGAGATTCTAGTTTATTCAGAGATAGATGAGGGCGAATTACTCCAAACAGTGACATTAGAGGCATAGGGTGAATCGTTTGTCCTGTTATTTGCTTTTTAGTCATTTTGGTAAAAAACTTTGTAAATGGCATTATGTGCAATCTCATGCAATACAGTGAGATCTGGAGAGTGCTCAAACAGTGTGTTGAGGAAAATCCTCACCTACTTCTGCACCAAATATCCACCCACAGCTGTAAAAGTTAGACATCGTTGTGGTCGCTAAGGTAGATCAGCTGTGGCGATCTTAAATCTGGATGCTTCTAAATGGTAATGGGTTGTAGATTGAGCAGCAGTGATTACTTGCTGAAACGTTAATTATGCTCAGTCCAGTGGTAAATTAAATATTTCACTAACACACCAACAGTGTCAACGCTCACTTAATGCCAACGTTTGAAACAAAGATGTTGCACAATGTTGAGTTCTTACAGTACGTGTTATGAATGAGTCTCAGCCACTATTACCAACTACTAATGTAAAATAAAAATAAAAACACTTACCCCTCAGTCAATTCTGACATTGTTTCCTTTTTAATTGACTGCGTATATCAACAGCACAGCACAGAAGCTTAAGGTTAAGTACTCTGGGGAGTCACTTAGTGGATATGTAATAAATCTATAATGTGGGCCAAACCACAAAGTGTAGTAGCCACATGAAATGAGCAGTATTATACCAGTTGTTTCCCATTGATTGCTTGTGCAGCCTTACACACGTGTGTGTGTGTTCTGTAATACTGCTGTCATAATGGTGAAAAATGTCTCAATGAAATGCGATCTGTTGTTAAAACTGACAATAAGTTCATCTGCCTGGAAAACAGGAACTAGACAACGGACTTGACTCGAAAAGATTATGATAAAACATGTTTTGATATTTAAATGCTAACACTAAATAGCAATGTTGACATTGTAGATACTCTAAATACCAGATGTATATTTGGGCCATTGGGCGTTCGGTTAGCATATATCTTAGTTGCTATCTTGGATCCTTATTTACCGTTTCTTTTTACACTTTATATTTTTGCTATTGTTGGATGTAACTGTGACCCTACGTACACAATCTCGCTCCACCTCATGTACCACATGCAATGCAAATGACAATGAAGAACCTTGAATCCTTGAATATTTGATCACATTTCCTGTTGCTTGTAGCATTATTTTCTGCAGGCATATGCAGCTAAAACTCTAAACAGAAACATATTAGGCTGCCTTCTCTGCCAATAAGGTAAAGTAAATAATTTACTGGTGAGAACAGAAAGCACAACTGAAATTGTACATCTAGCAGCATGCACATATAGCTGTACTTCATCACTTTAATGTTTCTGTCATAGGTTCATGTTGCTAAATCTGAACCGGAACATTTTACAGAATTTTATGCATGAAAACTACAGAAATTTCACATCAGTAGCGCTAATTTTAAGAACTTTGGTTTCTAAAAAGGCCCAATTATCTTTGAAATCCTTTACTACCATTGATTAAATACATATAAAATACCTTTGCTCATTCCAAGTACATTTCATTCATAAAATGTATACCTTCGTGCCTCAAAACGGATTTCATGCATCTATTTCTGCTTGCTTTTCTAGTATGCAGAAACCATTAATATGTTAAATATTTTATAATTTATACTATGAAACAGTGGGCAGCACGGTGGCGCAACTGGTAGAGCTGCTGCCTCTCAGCGAGCAGGTCCCTGGTTCAAACCCAGGTCCAGGGGCCTTTCTGGGTGGAGTTTGCATGTTCTCTCCGTGCATGCGTGGGTTTTCTGCGGGTACTCCGGTTTCCTCCCACAGTCCAAAAACATGCATGTTAGGCTGATTGGTAACTCTAAATCGTCCCTAGGTGTGAGTGAGAGAGTGAATGGTTGTTTGTCTCGTTTGTCTCTATGTGGCCCTGTGATGGACTGGAGACCCGTCCAGGGTGTACCCCGCCCTCGCGCAGTGATTGCTGGACATGGGCACCAGCGACCCCCGTGACCCAAAATGGAATAAACGGGTAAAGAAAATGGATGGATGGATGGACTATGAAACAGTAAACTATTTTACTGCATAAATAGGAAAATTGTGATATTAAAGGCAAACTTGATTATGGTAATGCAGACAACAACATGCATTTAAACTTTATTGCTATGTGTTGCTAAAACAAACATGGCAGACGTGTAAGTTTCTGAGTTCTGACAATAAACCAGACTTCAAATAAACCATACCTTTGTATAGTTCAAAAACATACCTAAAACACATTTCATAAAATAAAATATATTTAAAAAATGATCAAAACCAACCAAACGTCATCATGCTGCGGCCTCCGGAGTAAAAACTTGATGTAACCCTGTGTAACATGTGCCAAGGGCAGGCACAAGGTCCCAAGTAATGCGAGCGTTTTAATAGCAGCGCGTTAAAATGGAGCAGCTTTCATTCATGGTTCAAGACACGTAGGATTTCTGTGACCACAGGGACTTCAACAAAGAGAGCTGATGCAACATCGTTTCAAGATTTACCAGCCTTGGATCTCTACAGGTGACATTACAGTCTTCAAACGCTGATGAGGCCAAGATGTGGCGCTCAAAGAAGTGGCTCTTTTTCCTCTCTCGCTGTCTCTCTTGGTCAAGTCTGTTTATTTTACCATGATATTTTAGGAATACATCACTGGTACCATTTTGCAAAACAGAATGAATTATTTTCACAGTAATTGACTGTTGTTGTTGTTGTGTTATGGATACAGTTACTGAAAGTCTAGATCAATCAACCTTTATTTATACAGGTAAATCCCATTGAGCCTCGAGGACTCATTTACAAGAGAGACCTGATAAACTAGAGCTCAGGGGTCGGACATGGAGCAGTATTTTTATTAAATAACTTTGTTTTACAGTTTAAAATCAAATTTTAATTAAAAATGAACACACTGGTGGGCTGAACTGAGCTCACCCGTGGGCCTGATTTGGCCCCCGGGCCACCCGTTGAATAGCCCTGGTCTTAACTTTGCCTTTAAATGCATTAAACGACCCGCTCCCCCCCAACAATGGCTTGAATCGATGCATGCGGTCTGCTTCCTTGCATACCAAAGTATTAGGAATAGATTTTATGTGGTATGTTAGCCCTCTGATTATGCAGTGGGGATGGGACTCAGCTACTACCACAACTAATTTTAGCTCAACATCTGTAGCCTTTTTGCATTTAACCAGACAAATGTCATTACACATCTCTTTTGCATGTGAGGCCGGGCCTTAAGGCGGTCTGCACATGCATGTTTTTAGAGTGTGGGAGGAAACCAGAGTACTCGGAGAAAACACACACAAACTCGAGGAGTGCATGCAAACTGCAGGTCCAAACCTGGGATTTAACCTTTAACCTTTAATCTTGCTGTGAGGAACTGTGCTAACCACTAAGCTGCGATGTCGCTGTAAAACCGACCGAGGTAAAAACTGAATCATATGATTGGCCACATTTTGTTGTGGTGGGTGACCACTCCAAACACATGGACAAGTGGTTTCATCTCGTGTGCACACAGCCACAAGAAACATGTACACTCCCACACTCACTTACCTTTGTGATCTTGGGGTGAGTGCACCTGCTGGTTCCAGATGTAGCATGCATCCATCCTCCACCTTCAGCCACCAGCACTGGCAGGTTGGAGTTTCCTCCTCCAGTGCACTCCTGCCTCAGGGAGCACTTCTTGTCTTGGACGCACCAGCCACACTCAAACCTGGGGTCAGCTTTCAAGCACATCCCACAGCTGTCCCGCAGCGCTCTGCACTTGTACAGGTGGGCTGGTTGAGACAGAGACATGGAGAGAAATTCAAGCTGTGCAGAGGAAACATCTGAAGTGACTGAAGAAGTACCAGGTCCTTTTGAGATATATATATATATATATATATATATATATATATATACACACACACATTTCCCCCTCACTGGGGTATATGGAAGACTCTGAAGGTCACATGTGCAATTCCTTACATTCCTACATTATTTTACGTATTATATGACAAGTTAAAGACCCTTCACTTCAAGTTTCGAAGATAATAATTTGAGCTAAAACATAATTGTTTAATAGTTTTATTGTGCATTATTTATTTATTTTTTGTATTCCAGGGCGATTTAAGAAAAAAATAAATAAAACAATTAAAAATAAAAACTATAGTAGTGAGAAAAGGGAAAATAAGACAAAATGTTTGAATGGATAATTTTTCACAATATTTTCACACATTTCCACAAAACACACAAAAAAAATTAACACTGAACTCTGCATCGTTAAAAACGAGTTATGCACTCAACAAACGTTCATGTGCTCATTCAATGTACACTACTGTTTATATTTTTACTAGCCTTACTATATTGCATATGTAATTTTACCGTTATATCGATAAAGGACTTCATACATATACTGTGTACATTCACTTCATATGTTGCATTTGTCACTTTACTACAAATGTCAGTGTCAGGACCTTCATACTTATATATATACGTTTTATACTTTTTATATTTATACTGCTATACTTACAATTAAGGATAGTATCACACTTATTATTTCAGTTTATGCTAATGTTTATTAAATGTTTATTATTTAATGGTTATTGTTGCACCGGGGGTCTGAGAGTAATGACATTTCAATCCTATGTATGTCCTGTACATGTTGCAGTTTTGACAATAAAGTTGACTTTGACTTGACTTTGATAATTTGTAAAGTTACTGAATTTAGAACATTTTAGACAGTTAATTTATGGAAAGCATTATCAACTGTTGAACAATCTGTAGAACAATTCATTTAAAAAAAAAAAACATCAAGTTTAAAGTGAACCAGTATAAAAAACTATCAAAATGCCAGTGAATTTTACATTTTTATGACCAGTTTAAACTCCTAATGATTTCTACTGCAACATATACCCGAGTTTTAGAGCTCCAAAGAGGGCTAGGTTTTATGATGCATTGTATCGACATGTTGTCGTTCTATATTAATTGTTTTCTTACCGTTATTTACAAATGTTGTTTATGTTGTGCAGCATACCATTAACAAAAATCACTATTACCATTTGAGGTGCACATTGTGAAATATACGGTCATGTTTTTATTTTTATTTTGTTTAAAGATGTCAGAGAATTTACAAAAGAAAAAAAATAGCCATACAACAATAAAGGTGGTTTAATTGCATACGTTTTGACACCATTAAATAATCAGTTCTTCTATTTTGATTTTATTTATTTTATCAGTTAAATAGCATTACTTTCTCAGCAAATATTTTAGATGTTGTAACAGAGGTACTCCTTTTAGTCCACTATCGAGCTTTAAAGTGTGTTTAAATTGATTCTGAGCGACTTCGAAGGAAACAGGAAGTGGCTCGTCAAAAAACTCGAAAATGACTCAACCGCCAATAAAAGAAGCCAGCGAGCTAAATAAAACATAAGAAAACTTTTTCCTTACAATCAAATAATTACTAAATATAATTAGTGTTTGTAATCACAATGTTAAGCATATTTTAAGTTGTGTATATTAGTTTTGAACATTGTAAACAATCAGAAAATGCATTTTTCAGGCGGATTAGCATTAAGCTGGCGGAAGATCTTAGCTGCTTCTATGAGTTTATTCTGAACATTAGCTGAAAGTTAGCAGCTAATTAGCACAATGCTAGCACTTGTTTATTACACACTTTGATATAATGTAGTAAGATTATATGTGGTTTATAATTTATGTGATAATCAGCACAACCCTGGCTGTGATTAGTTAGGATGATTTTCCAAGAATGTCTAAAATGTGTATTTATAAGTTTTGTGTTTATTTGAATGTTATAAAATACTAAATATGTCATTTTTATTTTGTTCACAGTTTAACTGGCTTCGCCGTGTAATTCCCGAGGCAATAAATAACCACAACAACAACAACTGACTAATTTATGTTATTCATAACACTATTAAATATATACATTAGAGAAATATAAGTGGATGTAGAATATTTTGATGAACACAATTATCCAACTAAAAAATCTGGAAGAAAAATAAAATACTGTAGAATTGCTTAAATTTATGTTAATCACCCAACAACACCTGAAACTCAGTGGTTGATTATTACAACTCTGAGGCTCAAACGAGGAGAAAATTCTGTTCCCAATGATAAACAGAAGAGCGAAACGTTACCTGGAGGGATATTAGAGAAATTAATTCAACAGGTAATGCCTTCAACACCAATAGGGAATTGATAATTTGTTGCTTTAAAAATAAATAAACATTTTACCGACTCTGCAGAGTGGAAAAAAAGTCATTAAAAGTGAAAGAAATAATGAATAAATAGATATTTAAATAAATTAAACCTGAAACACCTAAGAAGCTGAAGGGGGGGGGGGGGGATGAAAGGAAGCTGGAGGAAAGGCAGACGCTAACTTTGAGTTGCACTTGTTAACAAACTGCAACAAGAACGGTTGTGCATTTAAGATGATTGTGGCCCCACGAGGCTCGGAGATTCAGAAGAAATAAATAAACCGAGCATAAAAACAGTGAGAAGTTAAGAGGAAACTATAAGGAGATACTTAAAAACAGAAAAGAAGGTTAAAGGATGTGATGCTCTAATTGTTATCAGTAGTTTGTACCTGATCAGCCATGACATCAGTCATGAAGCATAGTCACTCAATCCTAAGGACCATTTGGAGTTACCAGTAACCCGTACATGCATGGTTTTGGTCTGTGGGAAGAAACTGGAGACACCCCCTGACCCCCCAAAAGAACAACAACAAAAAACAACACATGTACAAGATGATAACATGCAAACTACACCCAGAAAGTCCCCAGTGTCATGCAAAAGTGTGGAGGTTTAGTTTAAGCCCGTGGTTCCCAACCCTGGTCCTTGAGGAACACCATCCTGCATATTTCAGTTGTGTCTCTGCTTTAACCACCCGCTTCGAATGTTGTGAGCCATTGAATGGCCGTTATTAGTTGTTATGATCCAGTATAGGATGGACAGTCCGAACACAACCTATGGGGATGATAACTAATAACGACCACTTAATGGGCTAATAACATTTGAAGCCGCTGCTGATTCTCAGTAATCCAGGACATGAAAAATTCAAAAAGTTCAAGACGAAAACAGAGTCCAGTTGTTTTTGTCTTGAACTTTTTTGAATTTGAAGGTGCTGCTTTAACACACCTGATTCTGGGATTTAATTACTTCCTCAACTTCTGCAGGAGCCTGTTAATCCCCCATTCATTCAAATCAGGTGTGTTGGAGCGGAGGAGCAACTAAACCAGGATGGTGTTCCTCAAGGACCAGGGTTGGGAACCACTGGTTTCAGCTAATGTAATATGCTTTCACAACTGTGTGCCATTTTTGAAAATTAAACTTGCCAGTTTATTGTCTTGCAGACTATTAGGCCAGCCTGGCCAGACTTTTGCATCTGTCTCCAGACTTTGTGCTCTGACTATTGTCATGTCTGCTAATGTACTAATTATAAAAACATCACTTCAAAGTTGAATGAACTATACCTTTGAGTACCCGTCAAGAACAAACAGTGGAAAGAGATACGTGCATACAGGAAAACAAAAGCACCAGTAGATGCTTCGTGTAGGTTTTCAGATTTTTGTTTTGTCATTTGGCAATCAGCACCATAATTATCTTAGTTAATGCTACACATCAAACACCTGCCGGCAGGTTTGTTTACTGTCACAGCAGATAAAGAGCTTTAAAGAGAGGTTAAGTGGAAACACAAAAGGAATAACGTAAAATAAAACAGCTCAAGAATCTCCATCCTCCTCAACAGACTGACGGCGGCTGGACTTCAAAGCTTCTTTCGTCTCCATCTGCCTGACTCGGCCCACGGTTCGGCCTAATCTGATTAGCTATGGCTCATCTTAAAAGTAGTGCGACCCTAATTAATCTGGAGCAAATGAATGATTTAATTAACATTAACATCTCTACTTTACACCGGGGCAAAGCCGGGCCAGTGTGTTGCGGCTCTGTCACAAATGGATAATGCAGCTCAAAGCGAGAAGGGGAAAAAAGGATAAACCGAGAGAGGGATTATCAGAGGAGGAGAGGAGGAGGAGATGGTCTTTATGAGATTTTTGTGAGCAAGGACACTTTCATAATGCTTGTTTTTAAAGTATTAGACCTTTAACCTTAAGCATATCAATTAATTTATACAATCACAATCAGAATAGAGAGGTTAAGAAAAAAAAAAGTACTATATATTTTAAATATTTTTAACCATATTAAAAACTATTTAGAATAAATCACATGTGAACTCTGAATTTGTTTTATATTAATAAGAATTCAAAAGTAAGATTTAGAAGCATGTAAGTAATTGTATGAAGTATAAACTCTGAGCTGTGCTGTTCCTGCTTTTCTTTTAGTCCAGTTTAAAGTTTTATTGCACTTTTGTCTTCATTTGTCTGGTTTTACAGCAAATAAGGCAAATTTGAAGTTGGGTAAAAACTCTGGGTTTCCCCAAAATGTGATTTTTTACATACGGAATAATCAGTTTTATGTATTGTTTTATTTGGTATCAAGTTAAACTATACAACAAAAGACAGCTCCATGAAAATCAATATTGGTTATGACCAATATTGATTCAAACGCATGCTCAATGTTCTAGAATTGTGCCGCTCAAGGTGGCTGCATGTTGGAGCAGCTCTGTTACTTTCATTCTGAGATTTTGCTTTTGGAAACTTTAATTCCTCTTTTGCTGAATGCAAAGCACATTTTTTGGATGATTGTTTCCTCTGGTATCAGATGCTGTGCAGCTCAAAGGATTTTTACTGAAACTTTTTTAGTTTTGGACATTTGT